TAAACCCTAAACCCTAAGCCCTAAACCCTAAACCCTAAACTACCCCAAACCCTAAACCCCCATGAATTCGGCCACCCAGTCGCGCAGGCGCTCTTGAGCACGTCCAGGTCTTTCAGCACGGCGGCCTCCGCGATGGCAACGAAGCTGTTGACTGAGATCGTGCCTTGGGATTGGGCGGGGACGGGGCACTTGGGAAGGGTTTAGGGTTTAGGGTTTAGGGTTTAGGGTTTGGGGTTTAGGGTTTAGGGTTTAGGGTTTAGGGTTTAGGGTTTAGCATAGGGTTTAGGGTTTGGGGTTTGGGATTTAGGATTTAGGGTTCAGGGTTCAGGGTTAGGGTTCAGGGTTAGGATTTAATAAGGTTTGGATTTGTAGGGCTTAGGGCTAGGGTTTAGGGCGTGGCTTGGGAATCAGGAGCCTCTAACCCATGCTACCATGCTACTCGAAACCTCTGAACTATATTATTCTGAACGTAGATGGACCACAAAACCCTTTAGCAGTCCCAAGTTTCTTCGTCCCCCCAAGCATTGTCCAGAATTTTGGTCCCTGAAGTGCCTGTAAGGGCCTGTAAGAGTAAACCCTAAACCCCAAACCTTAAAAACCCTAAACCCTAAACCCTAAACTCCCAGGAGGTGCCTATGAGGGCCTCAGAGAGGGCCTGTACCACATGCTGCACCTGCCAGCGGTGGGCCAGGTCCAAAGCGACGAGCATGCACTGGTAGCCCGGATCTCTCCTCGGTCGATCGGGTCTCTTTGGTTCAGTTTAGGGTTAGGGTTTAGGGTTTAAAGTTTAGGGTTTAGGGTTTAGGGTTAAGGGTTTAGGGTTTAGGGTTCAGGGTTCAGGGTTCAGGGTTCAGGGTTCAGGGTTTAGGGTTCAGGGTTTAGGGCTCTTTAAAGGGCCCTCTGGAAGAAGATTCCTAGACCCCAAGCTGGGTCGTTTTGACAGGGGGCTGTAGGGCTATAGGGTCTAGGGCTCTGACAGGGCCCCTCTTGAAGAAGATTCCTGGACCCCAGCCCTAAACCCTAAACCCTAAACCCTAGACCCGAAACCCTAAACCCTAAACCCTAAACCCCAAGGCCGCGCCCAAGCTTCCGCGTGGCATTCGTGTACAACATGTCGACGAGCAAGGCCACGCCTTCTTGCGGGGCATCCCGGACTTGAATGCGCCTCTGCTTGCCTTGGTAGCCCAGTAACCATCTGGCAATAAGGGCACCCTTTTGGGGGTTGGCTACTTCATAAAGGGAACCTTGCACCGAGAAAAGGGAAAAAGGGTACCACGAGCCTACCCTAAACTCTAAACCCTAAACGCCACTGGGCTACCCTAAACCCTAAGCCCTAAACCCTAAACCCGGAAAAGGATACCACGGGGCTATCAAGTTGCCCTCTTGCATGGAGGATTCCAGCATGGCCCTCAGGACAGGGGACGTCGCCATGAGGACCACGTCGTGTGCAGTGACCTCGGCACCTTCAGGGGACCTAAGGCCACCCCCCCCCCCCCCCCCCCCCCCCCCCAAAAAAAATAAAGGGGGGGTCACAAAAAACTATGTCATATACCCTAAACTACGAAAAATCCTATCACGGTATTTTGAACCCGAAACCCTACACCCTAAACCCCAAACCCTAAACCCTGAAACCTAACCCCAAACCCTAAACCCTAAACCCTAAACCCTATACCCTGAAACCTAAACCCTGAACCCTAAACCCTGAACCCTAAACCCCAAACCCTAAACCCCGTTTAGAGGCTCATGCGGTCCCCAAGGCACCGGCCGTCTCGAAAGTCACATTGTGCGTGGCTGTCAGGTCGAGAATGGACTCCCAAACCTCAGGACAGGGTTTAGGGTTTAGGGTTTAGGGTTTAGGGTTTAGGGTTTAGGGTTTAGGGTTTAGGGTTTAGGGTTCAGGGTTTCGGGTTTCGGGTTTCGGGTTTCGGGTTTAGGGTTCGGGGCCTAACAACCCTGCAAACGCTATAAACCCTACAAGCCCTATAAACCCCATAAGCCCTATAAACCCTGCAAGCTCTATAAACCCCATAAAGCCTATCAACCCTAAACTTACGAGTTCTTGGCCGGGAAACAGGTTCATGCGTACCTTCTACCCAACACCCTCCTAGATAGCCCTTTAAGAAATTGTATAGGCCTTTGAATTTCGTTACGATTCCCTACAAAGAACCAGGAAGAAGGTTTAGGGTTTAGGGTTTAGGGTTTAGGGTTTAGGGTTTAGGGTTTAGGGTTTAGGGTTTAGGGTTTAGGGTTTAGGGTAGGGTTTAGGGCTTAGGGATAGTCCAAGGAACGCCGAGGATGGCTGGAGCCACTGCGACTCGCGCCCGTTCCGTGGGGCGGCTCGCCAGCGCAGAGACCACCTCATTCCTTGGGCACCACATTGAACCCTAGAAGGGCTTTCAGGGTTTAGGGTTTAGGGTTTAGGGTTTAGGGTTTAGGGTTTAGGGTTTAGGGTTTAGGGTTTAGGGTTTAGGGTTTAGGGTTTAGGGTTTAGGGTTTAGGGTTTAGGGTTTAGGGTTTAGGGTTTAGGGTTTAGGGTTTAGGGTTTAGGGTTTAGGGTTTAGGGTTTAGGGTTTAGGGTTTAGGGTTTAGGGTTTGGGGCTCATCTTCCCCAATATAGGGACTCCAGAACCCCTGACCCACCATACCCTAAACTTCCCTAAGCCCCTAAACCTCTCCAAAAGCCCCAAATCCTGAAACCCTAAACCGCGGTAGATGACCCCAACGGACGGGTTCGTCTTAGGGTAGCTACCTGGGCCCTTTAGAGGGCCCTGAATTGGGGAACCTTTAAGTACCCCTTATATAGCCCATACTTCAAAACCCTTCAAAGAAGATTAAGGGACCATGTGGGGGTTTACGAAAACAAGGAACCCCACCCCGTAGTAGAGTCGCCTGAATGGTAGGATTCCCTTATACTAAGGACCCCAATAAGGTGCCCCCAATTTCGGACGCCCCAAACCCCAATCCCTAAGCCCTAAACCCCAAACCCCTAGCCCTAAACCCTAAACCCTAAACCGTAAACCTCCACGTAACTTCCCTTGGAGTTCATCTGGCCTCCAAGGATCAGGAAGTTGCACTCCGGCGACCAGTCAACATTGCTGTCTTCGAAGGCCTGGAGAACCTGAGGAAGCAAATATTGGGTTTAGGGTTTAGGTTTTAGGGTTGAGGTTTTAGGGTTTAGGGGGTAAGGGTTTCGGGCAGGAAAGTCTATGGGGCCCTAGGCTGTAATTAGCCGGTAGAATTTTTGTGAAGACAATCTTGGGATCCATTTCATCCTCCAAGGAACCGCAAGCGTGAGCGAGATGGCCGAGCATCCAGATATTGGGATCTTCGTGGTGGTGAGCCCTTCTTCGTCCCAACCCTTCTCAATCGCCCATATGTAAGGGAACCTCTCTGCAGCGACAACGCGACAAGGCGGCGCAAAACAGTCAGCAACTTTGGAAGCAACGAATTCATGAACAAACCTAAGCCCTAAGCCTTAAAGCCTAAACCCTACCTGGACACCAAGTGCCCTTAATCAAGGGCTTAAGTGTCTTAAGCCCTTTTTTAAGGCTGTCGCAAAGGGTACTTGGGGATCTAGAGAAGCCTAAACCCTAAACCCTAAGCCAGGATGCCTTTTGGCTGGGGTTCTCTGCTGCGGATCTGAGCCCTTCTGCAGAAGCCACCGGATGATGTCCAGGTACGCTGCGCTCAGGGATGGCTTCCTCAAGCCTTGCAAGGACGAAATGAGGCCCCAAACGGGTTTATGGTACATGTACGATAAATGAGGGATTATCGTAGTATAGGGTATATGACCCCAAACCCTAAACCCTAAACCCTAAACCCGAAACCCTAAACCCCAAACCCCATAAGAATTATAGTAGCATAGGGTATATGACCCCAATTTTCAGGTTCCTTTGGTCCCCAAGGAGCCTCCCAGAATCGCCGCGTGAAGCACCGGCGTGTTGTGCCTCTGGATTTTGAAGTATAAATAGGGTTTAGGGTTTAGGGTTTAGGGTTTAGGGTTTAGGGTTTATGGTTTAGGGTTTAGGGTTTAGGGTACTCCAAAACCCAGGGCCTACCACCGCAGGCAGCCCAGTCAAAAGTGGCCGGGGTGAACTTCTTCAAGGCCGTGAGGTCACCGAGCTCGACGAGGCCGAAGACCACCTCTGGGACCCTATTTACCTACAGCTTAGTAGACTAAGTAACCCCCCCCCACCCACCCCACTTAGGAGACAGAACCCTACAGTTTAATAGAAAGTACCCCCCCTATTTAGTAGGTATAACCCTTAAGAAAAAGTACTCCCCCCCTTTTTTAGTAGGTATACACCCTTAACCCTTAACCCTTAACCCTAAACCCTAAACCCTAAACCCCAAACCCTTAAAAAGCACTGTAGGCAAATAGGAGCCCAGGCACATCGCATTCCGATTCCACCGGCATCTTCTACCAGCGGGGCACGGGACGCCAAAAGTAAGCCAAGGATCCGAAGGCTCTAGGGTTTAGGGTTTAGGGTTTAGGGTGACCCGAAGCCTGACACGCCTGGGCTAAGCTCTGAACCCCAATTAAACCTCAGCAAGTTTACCCGTTAACTAGGCCTCTAGGGATTCAGAGTTTTGGGGGTTTTCAGGCACATGGTGCTGTTGCGTTTACTGCCTTATAGTGCCGCTTGGATCCTTCACTTCTACTGAGCTGTGGCTATACGCAGCTCTTGAGCCCCCGTCGAGAGCAGGACGCCGGGTTAGTCTGTACCGTTGTTTGCGAGGGTGCCCTAACTCGAAACCCAAAGCCCTAAACCCTTCCCCCTCCCCCCCCTCTCCCCAACAAAGAAGGCAACCCAGGGGGTCAATCTCGCCAACTCCCACGTTTAACCACTTCCTGTATGTCCTAAACCCTCTAACAACGAACCCTAAACCCTAAACCCTAAAACCCTAAACCCAAGACCCTAAACCCTAAACCTAAACCCGAAACCCTCTCCGGAAAGCATTAGCTTAACCCCTCATTCCCCGCTTGAAGCTTGAAGAGCCTCCTCCGACACTTTCATGCCGAACTTCCTGGCCGCTCCCAAGCGCCAAGGGAGGAGAGCTTGGAGTTTAGGGTCTATAGTAAGGGGTGCGCTCAACCCTAAACCCTAAACCCTAGACCCTAGACCCTAAAACCCTAAAACCCTAGACCCTAAACCCTAAACCCTAAACCCCAAACCCTAAACCCTAAACCCTAAACCCTAGACCCTAGACCTTCCACTCCAAACCCGGCAAGCCCTACAAAACCCAACAAGCACTAAACTCCAGTTCCCCAAATGCCTGCAAGCCCTTTCGGGTTTAGGGTTTATAGGGTTTAGTTTAGGGTTTAGGGTTAATGTCCTACAAGCCCTTTAGTATAGAAAATAAACTCCTTATTGGGTTTAAGTACCCTTAAAAATGTAAAGTGGTACTAGGACAAAGATTAGGGTTTCGGGATTAGGGCTTACCGATGAATCTGGCTAAGTTGCCCTAACATCAGACCATGATGGAGGAAGGTTGTTGGATACCAAATGCCGCAAACCCAAAACTACTTCCAGGATGGCGCTATAAACCCTAAACCCTAAAGCTGTCGAAAAAGCAGTCACGCGGCCTGGGTCGATCACTGGGAGCCGCCATGGGATCACTGACCTGCAGTTTCGGGTTCAGGGTCTACCTGCCTGCCACCCTCCTCCCCCACAAGTACCCCTGAATAAGAGCCTCGGTGCCGCAGTACGGGCATTTACGGTTTAGGGGAATCTAGACTCCTAGATCCTATAGACCCTAAACCCGAGACCCTAGCCCACACATCGTGCTATTGTTGAAGTACCTAAACCCTAAACCCCCTGAAGCCTAAACCCCCTAAACCCAAAACCCCCAAACCCTAAATCCCCTAAACCCTACTTAAACCCCCCTGAACCCTAACCCTACACCCGCGCGCCACCCTGGTCGAACGCACAGTGGTGCGGGGGAGTGGCAGGATCGCCTTAAGGGCTAGGGCCTCAACCCTTCCCTCTGAACCCTGACCTAAACCCTAAGCCTAAACCCTAAACCCTAAACCCTAGACCCTAGACCCTAAACCCTAAACCTGTTTAGGGGGCCTCGCAGGGGGGCCCCAAGTTGCTGATTCGGTCTCTGCCGGGCATAGACAAACCTGAAGGCCGGCTCGGTCGCCTTGCAGGGGAGTGTCTGTGAGGCCTCCATTCTCGCAAAAGGCTTCAGAAAGGGGAACAAGGCCCCTTGCAAAGGAAACAACAGCCCACTCTTGGACCCTGAAGACCCCAAACCCGAAACCCTAAAACCCTTAAACACTAAACCCCCAAACCTAGGACCTGCAAGTCCAAGAAAACTCAGCCATAAACCCCAAACCCCAAACCCCAACCCCCAAACCCTTATAAACCCTAAACCCTAAACCCTGAACCCTAAATCCTAAACCCTAAACCCTAAACCCTAAACCCTCACCCCTGAAACCTGAATCCTAGAACTCCCTTCGGGTGCAGTGGCGGGAGGGGGGCGTGGCCCGCGGCGGCGGTTGCGCGGCGAGTCGCTGCGGAAGCGCCTGCGGAGCTCAATGTCCGCGTTTCGGGTTTGGGGTTTGGGGTTTATAAGGGTTTGGGGTTTAGGGTTTCGGGTTTGGGGGGTTGGGGTTTCGGGTTTAGGGTTTAAGGTTGAAGGTTTAGGGTTTAGGGAATAGGTGGGGCGTCTATGCACATGCTTGTCCTTGAACCCGAAAAAACCCCCCAAAAACCCTGAAACCCTAAAACCTAACCTTGGCCCTACACCCAAAGCCCTAAAAGCCCTACAACCCTACAGCCTTCAGCCTAACACCAACCTAATAGGATTGAGAATGAACGCAAAAAACCTCAACCGAATGAAAAAAGCCTACTTAAACGTAAAAGGTTTAGAAACCCTAAACCTAATACAAACCCTACAAGCCTAAAACCCCTAACAACCTTAGCCCTAAGCCCCTAAACCCTAAAAACTCCGAACAAAAACCCTAACAATCCTAAAATCCTAACAACCCTAACCCTAAACCCCCAACCCTAAACCCAAAAAACCCTCAACCCCAAAAGCCCTCACAAACCCAGCTCTAAACCCTGAACCCTCAGCCCTAGCCTAATTAAACCCTAAAAGCCCTCACAGCCCCTAACCCTAAACCCCAAACCCCAAACCTAAACCCTAAACCCTAAACCCTAAACCCTAAACCCTAAACCCTAATCCCTAGCAACCCTCGAGCCCGGGCCTGCAGCCTCTTGGACTTCCCCGCCGCCGGTCGTCCCAGCGAGAGGCGGAGGCCCGAGGGCGATCCCTACCAGGGGTTTAGGGTTTAGGGTTTAGGGTTTAGGGTTTAGGGTTTAGGGTTTGGGGTTTGGGGTTTGGGGTTTAGGGTTTAGGGTTTAGGGTTTAGGGTTTAGGGTTTAGGGTTTGGGGTTTGGGGTTTAGGGTTTGGGGTTTGGGGTTTATGGTTTGGGGTTTAGGGTTTAGGGTTTAGGGTTTTTGGGTTTAGGGGGTTTAGGGTTTAGGGTTTAGGGTTTGGGGTTTAGGGTTTGGGGTTTGGGGTTTGGGGTTTAGGGTTTGGGGTTTTGGGGTTTGGGGTTCCGGTTTTAGGGTTTAGGGTTTGGGGTTTAGGGTTTAGGGTTTTGGGGTTTAGGGTTTGGGGTTTTGGGGTTTAGGGTTTTGGGGTTTGGGGTTCGGGTTTAGGTTTAGGGTTGGGGTTGAGGGTTTGGGGTTCGGGGTTTAGGGTTTAGGGTTTTAGGGTTTAGGCGGTTAGGGTTTAGGGTTTGGGGTTTGGGGTTCAGGGATTAGGGTTTGGGGCTTAGGGTTTACAGGGTTTACAGGGTTTACAGGGTTTACAGGGTTTACAGGGTTTACAGGGTTTACAGGGTTTACAGGGTTTACAGGGTTTACGTGCTTCTCGTTTGGGGTTTTGGAGGCCTGGGGGTTTGGTGGGCTTAGGGCTCAGGGTTAAATCAGGGTGTATTTCGGGTTTAGGGTGCACTTGCAGCATGTTGTCTATTTTTTGTTTGTGTTTTTATTGTTTTTTTTGTTGGGGGGGGGGGGGGGGGTGTCGGGGTTTAGGGTTTAAGGATTTGGGGTGGAAGGTTGCGGGGGGGGGGGGGGGCGTGGGGTTTAGGGAAAGTTTTTGGCGACTCAATGGATTAGGGGGTTTTAGGGTTGTGGGTTTGGGTGAAGCCACAAACTTTGGGGCTTCGGGCTGGCCGGGCCTCAGGGCCCATATGCCTGGTGTACATATATATGTATATGCATATATATATATATATATATATATCTGGCTCATACATATATATCTATGGCATATAGAGAGAGGGGGCTTTGAGGGTTTTGAAAGGGTTTTGAGGGGGTGTTGAGGGGTTTCTGGGTTTCTGGGGAGGGGTGTCCATGGGAAACCCGAAAACCGCCTGCTGAAGTGGCGACCCTCCGATCGCGGTCGCCCATAAGAGCGGCGGCGTGAGTCGGACCTGGTCTAGGAGCTTAGGGGTTTAGGGGTTTAGGGTTTTAGGGGTTTAGGGGTTTAGGGTTTTAGGGTTTAAGGGGTTGAGGGGTTGAGGGGTTTAGGGTTTGGGGTTGTAGGGATTAGGGTTTAGGGGTGTAGGGTTTGGGGTTGTAGGAATTAGGGTTTAGGGGTTGTACGGATTAGGGTTTAGGGGTTTAGGGTTGAGGGTTGAGGGCCTTAGGGATTACAGGGTTTAGGGGATTTTACGTAGGGTTTTAGGGTTTCAAGGTTGAGGGCCTTAGGGATTTTAGGGTTTAGGGGATTAGGGCTATTAGCTGGTCACGGGGTATGAGGGTTGAGCTAGGGCTTAGGGCTTGTTAAGGTTCGGGGCTTATTCGGGCTTATTGGGCTGTATTGGAGTTCAGCCCTTAAGGCGTTTGGAGGTGAGGTTTACGCCTTTGGGGCTCTTCGATTCAAGGTTTAGGGCTTCGGGTTCAGGGCCTAGCGGTTCAGTCTTTAGGGGGTTTAGGGTTTAGGGTTTAGGGTTTAGGGTTTAGGGTTTAGGGTTTAGGGTTTAGGGTTTAGGGTTTAGGGTTTCGATGAATAGGGCTTGCTAGGGCTCATTCGGCTTGACTGGGCATTCATTAGAGTTCCTTAGGGTTTAACTTGGGGGCTTCGGGGTTAAGGGGCCAAGCCTTGGGCTTGGGTTGTTAGGGTTTGGGTTCAGGGTTCAGGGTTCAGGGTTCAGGGTTCGGGGTTCAGGGTTCAGGGTTCAGGGTTTAGGGTTCAGGGTTCAAGGTTTAGGGTTCAAGGTTTAGGGTTCAGGGTTTAGGGTTTAGGGTTTAGGGTTTAGGGTTTAGGGTTTAGGGACCCTGAACCCTAAACCCACGATAGGCTCCGGACCGGTCGCGGGCGTCTGAGCGGCGTCGTAGTGGGGAATGGCCTTGAGGGCAGCGCGTTTCCCGCTTGGGGTTCATGGCCAAAACCCTGCCTGGGACCTTTTTGTTAAGGGGTTTCGGGTTTAGGGTTTAGGGTTGGGGGTTTTAGGGACAGTTGTACTAATCTGTAAGGTAAAGAGGGTCACAGGTGTGGACCCTAACCCCTTGTAACTCTTGGGGACCAGACGAACCCTACAAGGGCTTATGGTTTAGGGCTTAGGGTTTAGAGTAGTATAGGCGGTATGACGGGGCTCAGGGTTCGGGGTTCCGAGACGAGGCAGACTCTGGCTCGCGACTTAACAATCGACATCTGCGGCCTCATAAACGGGTAGCCCTTTTGGTTTAAAGGGGCTTGTAAGGGCGCCTAAACCCCCCAAAAAAGGGAACAAGGGCCTGCTCTGGGTCCTAGCGGGGTGCGTATACTTGCTGGCCTCATCGGATGCGCTGGTTGTTTCGGCGGGACAAGCTCAAACATCTAAAGCGCCCCCGCCTAGTTGTAGTTCCTTATGTCGGACACTGAATTCACCCTAAACCCTCAACGCTGCAACCCTGAAACCCTAAAACCCTAAAACCCTAACACCCTACACCGCTCTTGTCGTTTCAAAATCAGGTACGCAGAAGAAAGACTGCAACTCTTGGGGGTCAAGGTCCGGAGTGGTCTGGTGACTTTCGAAGCAAGAGGACCGCACAGCCTGGGACCCTATTTAGCTACAGTTTTAAGGTTTAGGGTTTACGGCCTAGGACAGTCTTTAAGATTTATACCTACAAAATAGGGGTGCTTGCTACTCATCTGTAGGAAACCGGGTCCCAGGATTTTCTTCGCAACGCCAGGTCCACGACGATCCTGCAACAAGTCCACGACTTCCATGTGGCCAAGGGCCAGTGCCCCTGCCATAGCCTATACTCCCCTTAGAACCTTAATAAAAACACTATTTTGAATATCCTCTTGGGTATACTCCCCTTAGAACCTTAATAAACAATACTAAATTTAATATCCTCTTGGGTTTTATATACACAAAGAAATAATTCCCAAGGGGGAGATAGGAGCTGCGTCGCCATGTTCGGCTCCGGTCTCCGCCAGCGGCCGCACCACGCCAGCGGCGATCATCAGGGCTGTTTCGCCTGGACCCAGGGGGTTTGGGTTTAGGGGTTAGGGGTTAGGGTTTAGGGTTTAGGGTTTATTGGTTTAGGGTTTGGGGTTTAGGGTTTGGGGTTTAGGGGTTAGGGGCTTAGGGGTTTAGGGGTTT